TAGCAAAGGCATTAGTGGTAGACAGTGTTTTGACTTACAGATTGAGGAAATGAAAATAAATAAAGAATATTTAGGAGATAATGTGTTGAAATTGAGAACCCATGAAGTTTTATTTTTTCATTCTTGGGATTTCAATCTCTTGAAATATCATTTTCCAATTTCACAAAATTGTGGAGTTATTAACTGTCAATGTCTTTCACGAAATCGATGTTATGTCAAATACTCTAACTCTCGCTTTTTGAACAAATTGCCAAATTTGCCGCTTCCTCTTTGCTTTGAAAAGTACACGCTCTAAAGTTAATTGGAAATCGCCAAAGCCTTCATAAATAGAAAATACATCTTTACTGACAATGGGTGAAATAGTAAAAATTTAATTCGTAAAAAATTTTACAATGAAAGCAATGTTCAAGCCGTATTTAAAGTTAACCAGTTTATGTTTCATTCAGTACATACTAAGAAGTGCACATAGCACACATTTTTATCGAACCTCAAATATCATGATGAAATTCAAGCTTAGATTAGATGGTTGGACACAGTTTACAATTGTATTTCTGTCGATCAGAGAATTCATTTTAAATTATAATTTGTGATAATAAATTCAACATGATATAGGAGACACTGTCATAGAGATTTCTGAATCCGTCAATACTTTATTAATGTAGTAATCCGCTACAGGCCTGAAGGGGGTTTAATGGTTTGCCATTTCAAAGTACCGTTATGGTAAAATGTCAACAATTAACAATTAATTTCCCGTTTGCTCTTCAAATATGAACTCACTTTATTTAACTTGCCGAAGAAAATTCCTTTCTTCTCAGTCATGGATTAGAAGTTTTCCACTTGTAATTGGAGTAATTTTTAGCATTTGAGTAACACTTAAGTTCCTCAGTTACCTAAATGCATTCCACGCAGTTCCTCATATTCGCATTTATACTTTCACGTCATGTAAAATCACAATTTATTGCCATATTATTTCATTTCCATTATTGTGTGGCTGTTTTATGAGGATTGAAGTTGGCAAGCAAATAATAGGCTTACGCCATCGTTATATCTCATTTCATTTTGCTGTCACTGCCCAAGCTAATCATATTTATTATCACGTAATTCTTAAGCTTAAACATCTCTCTTAATAATTAATTAAAGAAATAATTTCCTTTATAAATAGGAATTACTAGCTCTTCGACAACTAATCTGCAATCACATTAGTGATATTTATGATCAAAATTGTCAAATCTAGATAGAATGCGATCTGCGTAAATAAACCAATAAATTAATTTGCACCAGATACAAAAACACATTAACGGCTTTGCAAATTGATAGAAACGGATTTTGCAATAACTTTTTATTGCAAATTTTAGCAACGAAATTGAGGAAAGGCTACAAGCAAGGCAATTGAAATCGTTTCGGTACAATACGAGACTCAACAAAAAGAGCCGTTGAAATAGCAAACTTGAACTTAAACTAGATATTATGAACGCTTTTTATATAAAAATTCATGTCCAATTATTTATAAAGCTTTTAACTTAACTGCCTTATTAATCTGAAACTTCATAGAGTAAATGCATGCAGTTTATGTACACCTATCCGTGTATAAATCGAATCAACTTAATTGGTTAAGTAGAGAGTTAGTTGGTGTAGGATAAATGCGGAAAGAAATAAGTTTTGAGCTTCCATTTTAATTTCATAAACGACTACAATGAACGGTTCTAAAGTGGAATACTAATTGTTTGAAACCAAATTTTATATGCGAACATTGATATATTGAAAATCATTGGTGTGATCAAAATGGGAACATTAATATTTTGTCCAAGGGTGCGTGATAGACTTGCCTCCACGTGGCGCACCCTGCACAACGTATCTTCGTACGGCAAAAATTTCTATCTCTCGGCATTTGATAAGACTTTGATTTAATGTGATTAGTTTGAAAAAAGGCTATAAGAGAAATTGCCATCGTCAGGGTGAATTACAACGTCTGCAGATCCTCCAGTGGAATTCTGGCGGGAAGTCACTCCACAAATAGATCCAAGTACAGAAAATGCTACAAACCAATTATGTAGACATTTTCGGATGGCAAACGGAAGTACTACCAATTCCCAGGTTACACCCTGTTCTTTCTTCCTAAATACCCGCAAGTTGCAAGTGGAATTCTAACTGAAGTAAAATAAGGCCTCACCTCATATTACAATTTAATCAAGAGTATGGGCTCGACACAAGACATATGTGAAATGATCAGATTAAATGTTCGGAAACGTCAAAATCACTTCAAGATATATGCAGTCTATAATCCACCTCAGAATTGTCCCAACTTTGAATTTCCGAACATCTTACGCAAAACGGTAGTATAAGGAAACTTCAACGCCCACTCCACCAGATGGGGCTACAATGACACAAACATAGCTGGAAAGAAAATCGAAAACATGCTAAGGAGCAACCATCTGGAACTTATTTACAGCAATGAGGATTTGGCTACATATTTTCACTACAATAGAACCAGAACAACTCCTTACTTACTGGAACTGAAAAGAAATCGGGACGCCATTCAAACACTGCTGATCAGACGGAAATAATGGAAGACGACAATCAGCTGTCCTAAGGCAAGCTATCTTACGAGATAAACGGACTTCCTTCGATAAGTTCATCTCTAACATCAACTAACAAAGCGATAGCCAAAGAACTTTCAAATTCCTGGGTAACCTCCAAAACAACAGAGAAAGACCCAAGAAAGAACCAAGAAAGAACTCCGAAATAGCTAACTAATTTGCGAGGTTCTATTCCCACAAGCAAAATAAAAGAGATTTAAAGACACAAGTAATACAGTTTGGTGAAATTAAGGAAGTAAGAGCAACACCAAATCATGTACTTACTGAACATTCAGACTTTGCAAACTTAATGCTGCGATAAAACAGCTAAAGTGCAAGAAGTCTCCTGGCGAAGACGGTATTCATCCGGGATTTCTAATTTGAATGGGACCAAAGCCAAGGAAACCATGCTGATGCTTTTCAACGAAATCTGGGAGACCATTCTCGTACCTAACCAATGGAAGGTTGCCGATTATAGGCACATCTCCCTCACAAGCTTGCTGGCTAAACTTATGAAAATAATTGTTAAGAGAAAGCTGATCTAGTTCGCTGAGAACAACAATACTCTTTTTAACAAAGAAGCCAAATAGTTTCCTCAAACGCCTCGAGAAGGCACACAACCAAGCATTACGACTAATTACTTCACTCGAGAAGGCACACAACCAAGCATTACGACTAATTACGGGAGAGATTAAATCATTACGCATTGATGCAATGTTCCTGGTTAAAAAGAGCATCAAAATATGTTCCCTAATCAAAGAGAAGGCCTTGGTTCTGTATGAGATGCTACTGCGTTAACCCATGGGAAGAAAACCTTCAAAACATATAACAATAGACCAACACACCTGCAAACGCAATCTTGTTTAATAAAGAAAGTATTACAAATCAAAGACAAGTTAAAAAGCTTACCTATACTTGTTAACCCATTAGCAGACATTGCTCGAATACCTCATAAAAGCGAAAACCTCTCCACAACAAATGCGTTCACTGGCACTTGAGACAATCAATGTCAACTATCCTGCAGACCAATGGTTCTAAGTCTTCACTGATGTTCATACATAGGAAACCAAGCAAACCTTAAATGAAAGCCAATGGTCACCCAAAACAGCATAGATATACGCATGTAAAATCTGTATCCGTTGATGAGAGAAAAAAAACAGTGGTCATACAATGGATTCCCGGTCATTGTAGCATTAAAGGCAAAGAACTTGCTAACTCACGTGCTAAGAGGCGGACAACAATTTTTCAAGTCATAGACCGGTCGATGTTTTTAACACAATGAAGATTCTAATCAGGAGAGAACTCAAGACCTCAATGCACAACAAAGTTAAAGCTTAAACAAAGGAGAAACAGTAGCTTGTGGCACACTCTGTCATAACCAACTGGCCAAGAATTGAACCCACTGCTGAGTTTAAACAAGATTGCTTGTCACGGCACCGTATGTAACCTTACAGGGGCAATTTAGTTGACCCACCTGATTCGGTGTCCAGGTATAAAGATAATTGCGAAAACGCAGAGATTCTAAGAAGCCAGAAGACAGCTCATGAACAGCTATATATGTACCTTCTTACCCATGGGGAAAGCTGAAATCAACTAATGGGTTAATGAAAAAATCATAAAACCTGCCATTTGAAATAATCATCATTATTTTGTTCCAATATTATTCTTTTAAATTTTTTATATTACAAAACCAGATCCAATAAGGAAGGGAATTCTGAAGCATTTATAAAATCCACTACCACTTTTTGAAGCAAACCGACAAATTAGCCCAGATGTTTGGAAATCGTTATATGGCAAAGAAACGTGATGGCTGTTCATAGTAGATCTGTTAAATCAGAAATCAGATCAATTAGGACATCGGAATTTGTATAAATTTCATCTTACCTGTTTGGTGCAAATGTATGGCATTCAAAGACTGCAGATTAATGGATGCTGTAATGTGTTATTTGCTTGATACGTTGAAAAGTCTTACAACAAATGATTTTCTTCCCTCATAAATCCACCTCTAATTGAGTAAATAAATTTTCTTCCTCCATCTCTATGTTAAATTTCTTCAATGGATCCCTCGTCTATATCCGGTTTGTGCTGAAAATCTGCAAGGTGGTGTTTCCGATATTTTCCATTTTACATAATTGGTGTTCCGTTTTTCTTCAACTTCTACCAACTTTTAATCATAAGTGCCTGATTACGAAAATTCCTACACCACTATTTTCACTATTCCCCAACACCCTAACATACCTTAAATCCGCATTTAAGCTGTCGTGCGACAAATCGATTTGGAGAAAAATTTAAGCAGCACAATTTCAAAGTGGCAGCAGTGCCAAATATTGCCAAACAACGTGGTACACAAATAATTAGTTTTATTATTTAGATATCGGCCATTTTTAAATTATATCTAGACTTAGTATTTTTGAATACATGCAATGAGGAGGTGTAAAATGGCGCAGTTCAAATTAAGTTGGATCCACGTTTGTTGAAGGTTAAAAATTTCATCTCGTTTGTGCATTTTTGCATTCCTCTTCTTCCTTATCAATTATACATAGAGGATCGAAATTTACTTGGCCAGGTATGATATCAGAATTTTTCAAGACTTAAGGATCGATACTCTGTAATTGTAATCAATATTTAAATTCATGTTTAATTAACAGAGAATACTTATAATTATAATCATAATATTGAAATGTTTGTTTGTCATGGTATAATTATATCAAAGGCATAACGAACCTTTTACCTTACAATAATGGTTACAATTTTAAAAGAAAATATCGAAATAACCTGGACACGGCGGAGTATATTTTAAATTTAAAAGATATATTGATATTTAAGTTATTTAGACGTAATATTATTTTCAAGCGTAAATTCCTTATCACATGATGGAAAGCACTCAATTCTACTCATATGTTGGGAACAAAGCTTTTTGCAAAATTGATTGGCTAACTACTATATCTATTAGCCTTGAAAAATTGTTTAAAAATTAAGCAAAGGTATAAATACGTTTTACATTGATAAATTTAAGTCACATTGTTAAAGAAAGCAGAACGAATCTCAAATTGACTGAATGCACGGAAGCGTCTTACTGATAATGTATGGGACTGTGCACGCTCAACATTAAACACCAATTTCAAGATATTGATTCAGCCAATAATGTTGCATAGCCCTGAGCCATTCATTATACCCACAGAGGTGACTCGCAAACCACTCGAGAAGGCACACATTCAAGTATCTTGTTTTTTATTTTATTTATTAACTTATATTAGATGGCAGGCGCCTTGATGGATATCATAAGCTCTTTAGTTGACTTCAGACTTCACAGAGGGAAAGGAACATCAAATTGAAATAAAATGCAAGAGGGGGGGGGGGGAACAGAATAGTGTTTCAAGGATGTGTTATATCCAACTGCTTGGCCACTTCAGAAAAGCAAATAATTCTTCAGAACAAATGCGCTTACTGGCCGATTGGGGCAATGTGAACTGTCATGCATATCAATGGCTCGAAGTCTTCACAGATGAGAATAAGCTGTAAAATAACTAAGCAATATTTTAGCTATTCATTTTTATATATTATTTATTCACAATATAAGCATACAGCAAAAAAATAAAAAAAATTCAAAACCCCGTTACCTATCAGCTGATGGAGTGGGGCGTCTCAAAAAATTTGGTGCGAGACCATAAAGTCGATTTTGAATTTCCTAGCAATCTGAAATCAAAAATAAAAAACAATATCATTTCATAATAATGCATTTTGTCTGAAACTTCGAGAACATTGCAGAAATATTTGTTTACAAAATGGCAAAAAAAATTTTTTACCACGTTTTTGAGCATTCGTTGTATTTTTTAAAATATGGTTTAAATGCAAATTTGGTGATGGCCGTAGTTCATTACGTAGACAAGTCCCTAAAAAAGATTCTCTTAAAATTTCAAGTAAATCGGTTTGGGAGAACAAGAAAAATCGTTGAAAATCAGATTCAAAAATTCGCGGTTTAAGTTTCAAGTAAAAGTTTTTGCAGTCTAAGTTATAAAGCTATAATTTAACTTTCATTTATTCAATCCGCCATTCCTGCTGCATTCATCTGACCTTCCTTGTCTTTAAAAACTATTTTCGGCGTTTCTGTTTTCTATTTGAACAGTTCTGGCGTCCTTTGATGTGCTGGATGCTCATATCTCTGAGTGGTCAATCTGGGGGTTGTCTCATCTGATAGAAAATACATACACTTCTAGACCAATTTTCACTCCCATAATCGTCATCATCTTCAATATCGGTACAAAGCCTTCATTAAAAATGCACACAGCAATAAAGTTTGCAATTTCGATGATCTGAGACCTGGGAAGTTTAGGCTTTGTAGCGTAGACCATCGCAACTGCATTTTAATCTAATTTTGAATCCGAGTCCGCGTTGAGACATTCTTGAAAATCTAATCACGTTGTTGCATGTCGAACACGAAACAAACGAAGCAATCGCTGAAAAGATCGTGAAAAACTTTAAAACACAGTAGTCGTAATTATTATCAATAATTAACTCTTCTTCATTTGATTTCCTCAATTTTGCTGCTGATGCACTCGTAAAACCGTTGTTTTCCTTTTCCGTAACTCTATTGCCTTGAAATCGCCTTTTAATTTGTCAGTCTGGACGCGTTGAGAATTAATGCCTCCTAAAATAATTTGAATTTTGGAAAAAATATTTTATAGACATATTCTTAAAATGTTGAACTATGAAAATATGAAATAAAATAGATTCGTTTTTTTTATTTCTAGACCAGAATACTCCCTAAAGACAACGACGGATACTCAGAGATACTGGGAAGCCCGAAGACAATTAATGAACTGCAATATATGTACATCAACGAAAGTACTAATGATAAATATCATAAAGTCTGCCATTTTAACTAATAAATATAAGAGTAATAATCTTGAAGAGAGATATTCTAATGCAATTATTCTGTGGATACAATTTAATGAATATCTATTGAAGTTCCAGAATAAATCCTTTGCAAACATTCAAACTGATAGAAAACGTTATTATTATTTTTTTCGATATTGACAGCCAAATATATACTTGCTGCTAGCTGGAAATTTGGTACTGACCAGAATTTTTAAAATCCCAACAACCGCATTTAGCTTTTTAACATATTACTTGAACCTTGAAAGAAAATAATTTTCGGCCATAACTCATCCACCTCGATACTGTTATTGTATAATGGATGTTCATCACCAGTACCTAGTATAATATTTGCTATAACAAGCAGTGGAGGAATGTATTCCTATGTGCAAATCTCATTGAATTCATGAAATCTACTTAAGTCGCTAAGTGGCTAGATTGTCTGTGCTTATTTCATTTCAATACAATCTCATTAGAAATTCGAAGTAAATTATTTAGTAATCTTATGTGAACTAATGAAGAAGAAATATTAAATCATCCTGCAAAGTAAAATTTGGTGGATGAATATCACTGACAACTAGACATTTTGTCATAATTCAGACTGATATCTTTTCTTTTCGAAATTAAAATTAGAACTGTTGCTAAATCTAATCTATCCATGAATCTTTTCAGTTCATGGCTTATTTTAGCGCACATGAAGCCAATTTTTGATATTAATTTTTGCCGGCAAAATTAATGAAATGAAAAAAATTAAAGATAAACAATGCGAATTGTGCATAATTTTACGTGGAATATTTACACATTTTGCTGGTTTATTCAATAAATACTACAAACTAAGATTAAAGCTTCTCATCGTTTGTAT